TTTAAAAGGCTGACTACTTTTAATAAAGCTTGTATATTAATGTTCATTATACATTTCTCACATTTTTACTTTCTTTCAAAACAGCGATGCTGTGGTTCAATTGCTTTAGAACTATGTGAAACTAATAAAATGGGCCCTATGTTATAAAAAAACCTAATTATATTCAGATACACACCTTTTGAACATGTTTGAAATCTATTATTCTAATCAGAATACTTTGTCTACAGAAAACATTGAATCAATATTAGAAATCAAAAGCTAAGTGAGATTAAAGTAGGAAGAGTCACATCGTCTAACCCATTTTAATTCAAGTAAACATGTGCTTACTTTATCGTGAACACCCGTTTTTTAAACAGCGAATGAAAAGAAAAAAAGAGCCCACCAGAGCTCGAGCGGTAAAGTCGCTGAGCACTAATAGTTCGGTCCGGGGTTCAATTCCCGGCTAACGGCTAGCTGCACGGGCGTTTTCATTGTTATTCCCGTGTGTAACTTGCATATGAGTCAGTTCCCTTTAAAAAATCCTACACGAAGGCTTCCCTCCCCGTAGGCAATAGCCGTAGTGTGCTTTGCTGTAACCGAATAAACCGAAACCGAAAAAAAAAAAAAAAAAAAAAAAAAAAGGAATTGGTGGGAAGGCAGCTACGAAACGTCGTTTTAGAAGAATGGGCTACATAACCAAATTTCTATCTATACTCTGGTAAACAGTACATTATTTGCTCATCAAAAGCCTAAATTTAGCTAATGCTCGGCTTAGTTCTTAAATTGCAATTTTAGCCACAGCCCCCAAACAAGACGATGTTTGGTATTTTATTTCATTACTTAGTTATTCATCATTAATTAAGATTAATTTTCATTTGTCTTTAAATTTTTATTGAATTATAATAATAATTTAATATTCTAGTTGCTAATTATTTTATTATTGTAATAGTTATTTTATTTTTATTTATTTATTTATTTATTTATTCATCTTTCCTGATGGCCTTCCATAGAGCTCCAGCACTTCTAATTTTAAAAATTAAGTCCTGACTACAACCAATGATTGCGAAAATAAAAGTCAAGTAACTTATTTAGTGATAATTAAATAAATAAAAGCCAAAGCTTTTATTTTCGCCTTACTGGCTTTTATTATATATATATATTCAAGCAAAGTATGTGTGTGTGTGTTAATTTACATTTAATTATAATTATTTAGATATATATATACATATTTACGTTTGGTAGTATTACCGATTGCAATAAAAAGGGAGGTGCACATCTAGATGTTATACGGACCAATATACAAAATTTCAACGTTCTATAACTAACCCGTTTTTGAGTTATGCAAAATGCATACATACGTACTTACACATCACGAAAAAAATCCCTTTCAAGTATCAACTTAGAGTCATAATCATTAGTCATAAGTATCAGCTTAGAGTAAATGGGATTACATTTAACAATAAGTTTTTTTGAAAAAAAAAAAAAAAGAGAGAGAGAGAGAGAGAGTCCTTCATTGTGTTCGTACGTACAGGCGTCAGCCCAAAAAATAATTCACATGGATTCCGTAATCGTCAAAAACGGATATTTCCGTTAAAATATGATACCCAAACGTTTTCTCGATTACAATAATTACTACCATTTTATTTGATACAAGGAAGTAAAGAACCTATATTAACCTACATATTCTTATATAAACAATACCTAAGTGCAGTATATAAATATTTCAAATCAATAAAATCTGACTATGGCACGCTCAAGGAAAAAAAAAAAAAAAAAAAAAAAATGAATCATCTAAATTTTCAAATTACAAACATAAATAGCAATAGTAAAAAGCAAATACAAAATAACGCTTCACGCTATCAAAATTGCTCATTTCTTAAATATCAACAACTAAATAGTATTTCAACTAAAACACATAATGTAAACAAGAGTTTGCCCGATGCCCAAAAAAATTCAAAATTATCTATGAAAAATATGAGCGCATTGTGATGCAACCGTATCATTCGTATTCGAACAGCAACCCGGGGGGGTGTGTGATACCGAGGAGGGAGCACGATCGCTGCGCTCTGAAAAAAGTGAAAATTTTTCCTTTCCTCTTGGTGATTATCAATTAAATTTCTTTGAAAAATTTTTATTTTTCCCTACAAAACCTATATCATTCCAATGAATTTCGGCTCCGATGTTGACGAGAATAAACAGCGGACAATGTAAGGATATACTTCCAAAAACTGGAATTTTAAGATAAGTACTTTTTTCATCTAAACTAAATCAAATTTCTATAAATTAAGTGCCTTTAAATCAATAAAATCTTAATTTTTCATTAGTTTAAAGCATTAAAAAAATACTTGAAATTGCTCATTGCTTGTGGCTTCCTTTGTGTTATCAACTTCCAAACAGACGCCAACGTTATCAGTTCACGTCTGTCACCACTTACAAAGCCCCCCCCTTATCTTGTTTTGAAGAATCTCGAGAGAGGGAAAATTTGGGGATGAGAGGGATAAATTTGGGCATCATCGCGCTATTTCCCTCTCGGATCTTCTGGATTCTCTTTTCCCTTAGATCGCTTTAGATCGCTTAAATATAGTTTTTCGCCTTTAAATAATATTATACCTCACCGATTTTTTACTCATACTGTTCCTTTGCTATCTGTTAAATGTCCATAATGTAAGGGAATGGATTATTCTTCATTGCCTTTAAATAACTTTTTAGAACTATGAGCTGATATAAATAAATAGTGTGCCTCAATTGTGTTATAACTAGCACATTATTTAACTAGTAATAAATTGATGATAGTAAAATAATTAAACTTGTAATAAATTATGATAGTTTAAATTAATAAATACTGTTTAATTGTGTTTTTAATACATATATCTCAGTTATTTACACACATAAATATATTATAATATATATTATATTATATATTATATTTATTTATTTATTTATTTATTTTTTTTTGGGTGTATGCGGTTGTGGTCTTGTATTGATATGGTTCTATGTTGTTAGTCTGCTGCTGCTTTTTGAAAAATGTATGAAAATGTTGAAAATGAAAGTAGCATAAGTTACTTTGGTTAAATTAATATATACTTTTGTCTGATGTTATGGGTTCTTTAGCCGTCGTGTCTCAGGATGAAAGCACACATATTGCCTTGTATGCCATGCTAAATACCTTGATACGAAGCATCTCAACACTGTCCTTTATATATATATATATTATTTCCGTACCCCATTTTCACATCTATTTAGCCTTTCGAAGCACACTCACTACACACACATGTGAGACACTATTTATCGTAAATGAAAACAGCTTCCTCTGCTTTTGACTACTCTCACGGACACAACCGTATTTTAGGATATTTTCATTTTCTTTATATAGGCCCTTTCTCTCTCTCTCTCTCTCTTTTTTTTTCTTTCCGTCTATTATTTTTTGACCACTTAAATTTTATTTTGTTCCATCTGTTCTTCCTGTCCTTTGAACTCGTACAAGATGTACGAAGTTCCTTTTTACTTTCTTCAAATACGAAATTGCCCCTCTTTCTATATACCTTTCTTTCGCACCTATGCTTGATTTTTCGCCCATCGGTGCAGAAAGATTAGCAGAAAGACTTAGCGGGTGCAAAACAAGACATCTGTCTACTTTGTCTGTCTGTCCGTCTGTCATTCGTATTCGGGAGATCGGCTGCGATCACGAAAGCTGAGGAAGTGTCTATACATAGCTTCGAAATTTTTTAAATAACTGTTTCAGTAAATATTTTCAACTCTCTAAAAAAGTTTAATGCACCTTTCCTATGCAATGTCTCATCCATCAAATTGAAAAAGGAAACTTCGCTTTTTCGAAACTTCAAATATCTTTTTCGCTGTTCAATCTCTACACGAGAAAGAAATCCTGAAACGGAATATTAAGATAAATAACAATACAATATCTTATTCTATATTACTAAAGTGCCATTACATTTCTTTCTTTATTATTTTCATAAGATTCTAGCATTATACAATAGTTCGTAATTAGTAGGTAAGTCATGTGGTTCTTTTTTCGTAATTATTCCACACAGACGCCACATTCCTATCAGTACTCCATTCTTATCAAGGAGGTTAGAGTAGACCTCCTATTCTAACCTCCTTGGTTCTTATCAGCAATTCACACCCTTCGGAGGCATCCCTTTTCGTGCTTAGGAATTTCTTGAGAGAAAAAAATGGGGATCTCTTGAACATCGATGAATATAGATTGTGATTTTTGTTATTAAGATCCCCGACTTTTTTTCAGGTCTCAAAATTATGATCAAATATAAATAAAGTGAGATTGAATTTGTTAAACTTGTACTATAATAAATTACAAACGGTTAAATTAATAAATTAAATTTTATATTTAACTAATATTAAGAAAAATAAACTGTGTAATTTATTTTTGCTGAAATGCTCTCACACTGTGTATGGATTTATGATTTTGTCAATTACTGTTTTTATGAAATATACATGAATTTTTTGGGAACGGTAATATTTAATGTTACTTTAGTTAAAATATTATGTACATCTCTGTGATGATATATGTCTTTTCTTGTTAGGTCTGAAGATAACGGCATACACATTACCATGTAGGAATTCATTCATTCATTCATTTATTTTTTTTTAACTTAGCTAAAGTTTGCTTCTTTAAGACACGAATTTCGCAGATGAACTCCTTAACTACACTCATGGACACAATCGTATTTTAGGATATTTTCTACTTCTTTTCCTTTTCTTTCTATAGTCCCTTTTTTTTTTTTCCCTCTATTATTTTTGGGACATTTAATTTAAATTTTATTTTGTCCCATCTTTTCTTTCTGGCCTTTTGAAGTCGTACAAAATGTACGAAGTTCCTTTTTACTCTCCTCAAATACGAAATTGCCCCTCTTTCTATATACCTTTCCTTCGCACCTATGCTTGATTTTTCGCCCATCGGTGCAGAAAGATTAGCGGGTGCAAAACAAGACATCTGTCTACTTTGTCTGTCTGTCTGTCTGTCATTCGTATTCGCATAGAAACCGCATCATTCGAACAAACCGCATCGTACGACAGATGCGAGTAACGAAATGAATTTGTGAGTACCGAATCGGTACTTCGAGTCAACCGATGTACCCGTTACTCAGTAACGAATACATGCGGTTTGCTCCAGCTCTATTATTTACTGTTTGACTGTGTGACAGATTCCTCCTTGTTTTGACAGATTCCTCCTTGTTTTGACAGAATCCATTAAATGATTAGTATCATTATAAATCTTCATTTAAAAATGAATGCTGCAACTTGCTGCTGATCAGCTGTTTAACTTTTAATTTAAAAATATTTATTCCGTGATAGCAAGAAAATAGCAGGACATGGAACCAGGTGTTGCTGAGTTACTAGAAGCATGTAAGTTAGGACAGTAACCTGAAAATATAGTGATAATTCAATTTATTGATAGTTACAATCCGAAAGAACAGATTTTAGTTAATCTTTGGATTATGGTAACTTGACCATATTTGGCGACCAACCCTGCTACAGCAACCTGCTAGTTTTTGTTTGGACGCCATTTTGTTTTCACGAAGTAAAGGCTTTTTTTTTTTTAACTCAACATTTTTTGTTAACAATCTGCTAGCCGAATTACGCTTATGCTAGAACTTTTATGGAACAAAAGTGCTTAATCATGACAAACATTAGTGTGCGAAATTGGGAGAAAGTGCAGAATCGCAAACTGCTTGCCGCGTTTTTAAGAATTGCACATACACGGTATCCATGTACACGTCGACCTATTTTCACTGAAAAAAACATCCCAGAATTGCACAAAAAAATAGCATTGCGCACACTCTTGACTTTATCCATGTACATTGCTAAAGTCCTAGCTAGTAACCTTTATTGCCTTACCAAAATGCCGCCAAACTACCTGTTACCATATTCCAAAGATTAGCCCAGATTTTTAATTTAATCCATGCTTTATGTAATTTTTGTTTTAATCGTATGTTTTTAAATATGATCTTGTGGTATTTCCAAAAAAAAAAAAAATCTGTACTTTTCTATTATCGGGAAAGGATTCAGGTAGATATTTATGCGTGTATTTCGGATTTCGTAACTTTCTGGGTTTTAGATAATTGATTATATGGAATTACTGTTTGTGAAGTATTGTAGCACTTTGATGATCATAAGGCAACCAACATTTAGAAAAGAAAACTCATTGTTAGTATCGATTTATTTTTTAAACATATATTCTTTAAGTAATTTCATTTTTTATGTTAATAGGAAGACATAATTTTTTGTTTAATTACAAAGTTTTGCTGTTCAAGTCCTGGGTAAAAGTATATTTTAGGGTACCCCTTGGCAAAATTTAACTATTTTTGGCGGCACATGGATACCGAGTTTGTGCGATTCTTTGGCTTGCGTAGCGGAGATTTTTGGGGCAAAAATCGCTGCTACACAAAGGCAAAATAACAAGACAAAGAATTGCACACACTCGGTATCCATGTACACATCGACCTGGGTAGAGTAGACTTTAAGGTACCCCTTGTATTATGGCAAAGTTGTTGTTTGATTTATCGCCAAGTTGTTGTTTCATTTATGGTAGCCTGAGTAGTTGAATGGTATGGAAACCCTATTGTGATGTAATTGCATGCATTGTGATGTAATTGAATCATAGGATGTTTTGTAAGCGTTTTTATGGTGTGTGTTGGTTTGATTCTTTAGACGGTAGAATGGCCGAATGTAGTAAGTTTCTGTATGATTTGGAGTGAAAGGGGAAAAGAGCTTTAATTGACTGGTGTGTAAATGAAGGTTTACTTAGTAGCATTATAAGTGTCCTGTATGTAGGAAGGATGTGCGTCTAGTCGAACATAAAACTGTTTAGATGGATTTGAATAGGTTTGTAGGAAGAAACGTTCAGATGGTCACTATGTGAAGCGTTCGATCGGAAAAAGTATCTGGTTTGAAAAAAGTCATTTGAGTATCATTGATATTTTGATTTTTACGTGGCTCTGGGTGTACGAAGCAAACTCAAAAATCATGGTAAGTGAATATTTGCTTTTGGTAGTGCTTAAATGTATAACATGTTTTTCCTTTTTTATGTTATTTTATTGTTTGGTTTAAAATGTATTTTATTGAGATTATGTATTTTTTGTTTGCCTATATTGTAGAATTTGGTGCTCTTAAGTAAAAATAGGTCGACGTGTACATGGATAAAGAGTGCGCGATGCCATTTTTGTGCAATTCGGGGATTTTTTTTTAAGTGAAAAGTTTTTTCTTTTTTTCTAAATCAGGGCCATGTTTCGTGGTTTGAAAACTATATTACACATATCTTGATTGACTGAGGTATTGCCATTGCAATTGAAAACTCAGATATAACATCTTGATATAACATTTCTTTTCATATTTCATTAATCTCGAAATTCTGCTTTGGACTTCAAGTATCTGTAAATATTCGGATTTGCAGCTATCATCATCATTATGAAATATGGAACTTATTAACGTAGAGTTGCGTAAAGTATTTGGAATCTTATGTAACTGCTAAATACCCATTTATAAAAATAAATTCTTTTGATAAATAAAAATATGTACGTAGCGTAGATTAGAGAAAGTTATGGTTCTCAAAATGGTTTCAGTTTGCTTAGTGATTTTTGTGATTGGTGTAAACATTTATGTATCTGCATTGACAGCATTATAAAATTTAGATAACTATTCGGTTTCGAGGGCCGTAAAATATCGCCGAACTATTGTTGATGCCAATGCAGCCAAAAATCATTGCAGCAACCCTAATAATTGCGGCAAGAAAGGAAGTATAATAGTAAATAACTATATAAGATTGATGTTTTAATTTAGATGAAAAGTTAATTTCATATAATACTTTTTTATTATTATAATTTATGTAAAAATTGCTAAACATAACTGAATGGATGCCTGCATCGCTATTTTGCTATTGACTTATCGCTAAAGCATAATTTCATCTCGTTGGTTGTTCAAACATAATTTTCTATAATGAATGATGCCTTTTCTTTGAAAATATTCTCGATAAAGTGCAGAATCGCTCACTTATTTGTTTGCCGCTTTTTACAAGGGTAAAAACAATTGGATTTTTGTCAATTTTCTTTTACTTTTTAAGTGAAAATAGGTCGATGTGTACATAGATAAAGTCAAGGGTGTGCGCAGTGCCATTTTTGTGCAATTCTAGGATTTTTTTTTTTTTAAGTGAAAATAGGTCGATGTGCACATGGATACTGAGTATGTGCAATTCTTAAAAACGCGTCAAGCAGTGGGGTGATTCTACACTTTAACCCAAAATTCTATTGCACGACTTTTCGTCATGGGCAATTCACAAATTGTTAAATCCATAGGATATCAAAAAAGGATTTAAAAATTAAACTAGTATTTCAATGGCATCTTAAGAAATACATAACTATATAAACTTAAGCAATCTGAAATCAGCACATACGCTAGATTAGGCGCACAGTTAAATGGGTGCGTTTGCTAGATTTGCCGCTTTTGCACATACATTTTCGCTGCAATTTTTTTTACGGCCCTCAAAACAGAATAGTACCCTTTTAGTTAGGTATTTATTAGATGGCTGTACTAAAATTGATTGTTGTTTTAGTTATTTCTTCTTTTTGGCATTTTATTGCATATTTGACTTTGTAGTTTGTATTGTACATGTTAATCAAATGTTGATTTTTTAATTTTGCTTTAACTTTGAACAAGAGCCAATCGTAGGAAATAAAGTACATATTTCCTATTCAGTGAGTGATAGCAAGAAAAAGCTACCCCATTTCTTAATTTTGTTTGTGATAAATCTTCAATATACAAGCAAAACATTGCTTATGGGTGTTAAACATGAATTTTGCTGAAATTTCTAAACATAAGCCAGTCTTAGACAAATAAAGTGCAAATTTGTCTGTATAACAGAAACAATCCATCTGTAGTGTGATCAAGTGAACATCTGTAGAACGGTGTAATTAATTATTTATGTTTAAATATTTTTTACATGCAAGTCTTTTTAATGTTAGTACTTCAGAATTTCTGACTGCATTTTCAGATATTAATTAAATATTTCTTAAAGGTACAATGAAATGTGTTTAATACGAAAGTGCTTAAGACGAAATATTGGTTAACATGAAATAATACAATAGTCCCGACAAACTTCTATATATTTTCATGCATTTTATTTCTCTTAACATGAAACAAAAATCACTTTAACACGAAAAGATATCCTCTCTGGGAATGAACAAAATACAGAAAACACCGGCTTCGCAGGTGAGATTCAAGAGGGGTGTGAAATAAAAGAGAGTTGGTTTCACATGTTTCGTAGGAGGCTAACTTGGCTTTGAAATATCCTAGGAATAGCCTGTGACACGAGCCAGTTTTGTTTATCTAAGCTACTTTCACCTTTCACCCCTACAAAGGTCACACAAAAATTCTCATCAGTTGGCTTTGGAAATCGGTGACGAGTACATTGTAGTGCGAGTTAAAACCTGTGAGTTTGGTTCATATGTTGCACACTATGTTGCAAAGAATATATAGTGTATTAAGTGTAGCATTGAGTTGTAAATGTCCCTTAAGTACAGTGCAATGATCAACGCGATGCATATTATGAAATGTATATTGTAGCGAGTATGTGTAGCAGTGTGTTAGCATGCAATGTAGCCAGGAAAATGTTTAATTTCGCACGCAGAAAAATCTGTATTTTGCCCTTGTATGGCCATGTACTTTGCCCTTGTATTGTTTTCGGAGTGTAGCTTCAGATAGTTGCGGGATCCGGACGATACCCGACTAGTCTATGTAAGCCATTCGGGTGTCCCGACCTGCTCTCACCTGTCACCTGTTGCACTCTGCGTGGAATTCAGTGACTCTAAAGACGAATGAAAATTGTTTTCATCATGCACGATTCTCAAAAGTATCAGATTCTTTGGCACCAAAAGAAATGGAGAAGAAGGATATTGAAACTGAGCCAACACTTGATGAAATACTTGAGAAAGTTCCTGTATTATTGGAGGAATTCGTTGCAGTAGTTGATGACAATGTGTGCACAGCCCCAATTATGGCAGACAAAGACAATTTAGAGTTTGTTTAAAGTTAAAAAAATATCATTGATACAGATTCCGATGATGAAAATAAAATGAATAATGCAGCTTCTGTTCTCACATAATCTGAAATGAGGAACATCATGAAAAGTATGCGCAGTTATTTAGACACACATTCCAATAGTGAAATGAATAACAAAATGGACGACATTGAACAATTTGATGCTAAAAAAGACAATGCAAAGAAAAAATATCTGATTATTTTCCAAAAATTCAATAAATGTTTTGTTTTTCACATAAAACTCTAAAATTTTGTATTAGTTTTCATTAAATTCTTGTGGATGTTGTTGTTTCAATGATTTTTATTAAATACATGCATATACAGTCAAAAGTCATTAATCCGGACTCATTGGGACTTTCGGCGATTCCGGATTATAGATCATCAGTTTAAATCTGCTAAGATGGAATGCAGAAATTATAAAATTAAAAATATGAAACCGTAATTTATGAAATAAAGAACAATTATAATCTAAAATCAAAATTTGCAAAAAAAAAAAAAAAGCTTAATATTTATTTGTTTACTTTATTAAACATTTCTTTCAATGTAAGTTGTTTAAGTTGCTTCGTTTTATGTGATAATACTTTCTCTTTAATTCTATAAACAGACATGATTTCTTGTTCAGTTACAAAGTTCCGCTGTTCAAGTAATATAATTGCTGTGTTGAGAATACCGACTAATTTGTCAATCGAAATTTTTTCGTTTTAAATAACCTCTGTGTCACTTTCTTCACTACCGGAACGAATTATAATGACGGGGAATTTGATTTAAGTCATATCAAAGACGGAGTACATCGAGATGAAATACTACATTTATTAAGGAATTATGAGCCAAATAAAATAAACACATCTGCCCTGAAGATAAGGATAGTGTTGACAGATCAACTTCCAATTCATTGCGCGTCGTGGCGTCCCCCCCCCTCCTGCCGCAGAGCAGCGTGAAATTGATAAACAGATTTTGGAATGGTTAGAGAAATAAAGGATATGCCTTTATCCATTTTTTGCAGCAATTCCACTTTTTGTTTGATGGACATCAAAACATACTTTCGTTTTGTAGATCCTTTGGGAGCTCCAGCATCGGAAATTCTATTTGACATAATCGAAAGTTCAAGCTTACTTTTATAAAATTGCTCTAACAGTCTGCAAAAAATAATAAGCCGGATCCAATTCGAAAATTAAGGAACAACATTAACTGAAATAGATAATTTGAGCTTATACCGTCCGTTATACATTAAACACGTTATGCACATGCGCACACGCATATGAGCAGCCGTAAAGGTCTTACGGGCATGTGTCAACGCTACGCAAGCGCAGAAAGTTTGTAGCTTTGATGTCCGGATTATAGATAATTCCGGATTATGGGTGTCCGAATTAACGACTTTTGACTGTATACATATCTGTGTAAACAAATGTACTCTAATGAACTTAATTTTGTTGAATATATGTTTTTTTTTTTTTTTTTTTCAATATCCTTTAACACAAAATTCTTTTATCTCGAAAAAATATTGCGGTCCCCTCAGTTTCGAGTTAATCGATTTTCACTGTAATTCATTATTTTAAGAACATTTCTGTATAATATATATATTTATGTTTATGGGTGTTACAATATAACATGAATTTTGCTGAATATCTCAAATGAAAATAGTCATTGTATAAACCAGTGTTAGGTTTCTTCCATAACAGTGGAAGAAATTGGAAAGGGAAGAAACTGGCAGAAGTAAACATAGAGCTGCTAAATGTGATAAATTTGCTAAATAACATTTTTATATTATTTGAAAATAAATGTTTGATAATTTGCAATTAAATGCAGTGTAATTAAATTATGCTCCCTAAAAAATGTAGTGGAAAATGTGGTAGAATTCTTATTTATATACAGTATATTATATATTTTGTTAATGAGTATGTAGATACCAGTTTTTAACAATTAATTCAGTTTTGTTTTCTGGTCTTTTTTAATAAATGTGTTAATTTTCTATCTTCATAGCTATAAGGAATTGAAATTTAGTTCAAATGTCCATCCAAACTCAGATGTAAGAACAGATCTCATGCCAAGTACAAAAACATATAACAGGTAACTCGTTACAAAAAAAAAAAAAAAAAAAAAAAAAAAAAAAAAGTTATTGTACATATACAGTTGAACCTAATATAATGAAAATATTTAAATTGATTAATTATACACATCATGAAAATATTTAAATATAATAGTGTTTTATATGAATAAAATATAAATATATTACTGTTAATATAAATAAATTACTGTTATATAAGTTTTAAAAAATTCTTCCAATTGATGTGCTGCCTCGTGGTAGAAACTTTCTAAGCTTGCTTAGAGTACACCATTTCTAAAATTGGAACAGCTGTCATATACGGATCGGGTTCGTGAAAAATTTCTTGCCAAACATTTTTGGTGAGAAACTCCACGATTTTACTTATCTAAATTTTTTGTTTACATTTCAAACTTAAAGCCTAAAATTTCTGAAAATACACTGTTTTCACATGTGTGAAAACGATGATTTTGCTCATGGTTTATGCTAAAAGTCCTAAAAAAAAATTAGATAAGTAAAAGCATGAAGTTTCCCACCAAAAATGCTTGACAACAAATTTAAACAGTAAAAGTTTACAATTGGGTGCCTCTTTTTTTTTTTTTTTTTTTTTTCGCCAGGAAGGCACAATTTCAAGATGGCCATTACACAAAAACAAAATAAGAAGTCAAAGAATTACACAAACTTCGCACTGTCTTGACTTTGTTCATGTACACATCAATCTATTTTCACTTGAAAAATCAGAAAGCTAAAACCAAGTTATCATGGTAACCAGAAATAGGGTTTCATCACCAAAATTGAAAAAAAAATTGTTGCCAATAATAGAGGCACCCAGTTCTACGCTAGAGCCATTAAAACTAAAATAACAACAATAAATTTCAACACAAATTAATTAAAAAATTAACAGCACAGAATTAAAGCAGTGCAACAATTAAAATAACTCTACAAAATTAAAACAAATTCACTTACCATTCAAAATAGTTTCCCAAAAAAGCAAATATGAATTTCAAACAAAAACTTGTAACGACAGATATATCATATATATAATCCAATATACTTTCATTAATAAAACTACACCAATCAGACAAAGCATGAACCAAAATGCCATGTCTTAACTATATCAGACATCTTTCTACAATTCAAAATTTCAAACGTTATAATAAAAATTTCCTCTAAAGTCAACTTACTGCAGGAATACCAGAATCCAAAACTCAAACTTCGTTCAGAAACACGTTCTTTACCCTCAACAGTTTTTATGAAAATCCACACAAATGCATCAGAAACACAATTTTTCTTCCAAATCTTCATATCAGAGCCACACTTCTTACATGTCAAGTTTGGCTTCAAAAATCCTGTATTGCATAAAAACTGCAAAAATACACTTCTGTCAGCATGAAAACATCCATGAACAAATGCTTCATTAATAACTTCAACAACATATCTTCTTGAACTAAATGTAGCTTGAATATACTATAAAACATGTGGCTGATATCTCTCTACAATTTCCTTTATGGTATTATATGCCATTATTCAACATGTAACCAAAAAAAATCACCACGGCAAAATAAAATCACATTTCCCACAAAAGGTTCCAGGTAGAAAGAGTTTCCATACAAACAAAATCTCAACTAAACCATCCAACATAAAATATCGCCACATCTGGCGGCCACAGGTATCCCAAGATGTCTGTGACATCTTAGCCCTAAAATTTAACATTATTCAGTATATAAAATCTTGTATGGTGGAAATGAATGTGTCATTTCTGAAATTTTACATAAATTGTGTAATGTAGTTGAGATTAAAGTTCTGCAGGATTAGAGCAATTTTTTTCCATTTATGAATTTATCCATTCATTATCAACATTTAAAAATAGGTCATTGCATGCTGTATGAAAAAATGTCCTATTTCATTACATTGCTTATATAATCACATAGATTCAGTTTCATAATTTAATTTTATTTTTAAAGTTTTCCGAGTAATGCTGCTGTTTTTGTTTTTTACTGATAATAACTGGAATTCAGTTTCAGAATCTCTCTAACTTCACAGATGGGAAAGAGATCTCATAATAGATATACAAAAATACATACATACATTACAAATACGTATATATAAATTGATATAGACATGAAATATGTTTAAAAAATTTCTTTCTTCCACTAAAGTTGCTATTTCTTCCAGGTGGTTTTTTTTTTCCCACGCTGTGGAATGAACTCGACAACTCTACTATATTCTCATTGTTTTTATATCCAGCATTATAACATGTCATTCATAAACATAGGCATTTTGGGAATTCTAATGTGAAATGATATGGAAACAGTTTTAATGAACAGAAAAATAAATAAATTACTTTTTATATAAAAAAGGGTTGACGTACAGAAACTTTAAGCATATTTTTTATGCTTCAGTATTTTTCTGAACATCTAGTTACTATAAAACAAATTTATAATCTAAGCAGGAATCTGCCAAAGCCTGTGCATTGGGATGTAGAATTTAGCAGCAGCAAATTTTTGAAGGCAATGAATGAGCAGCAGAAATTGGACATAGTGATTTCATTGGGCATTTAAAAGCCTAATGCCCACCTAGATCATAATTTCACTTTAAAGAAGAAAAAGCAAAATTATTAATTTTTGGGCGTATCATCAATGCATGTACATCCAGTTGTTTTAATTAGTAACTGAAGGTGCGAAATTAAAGAGAACTCTCAAATAAGGGAATAATATCCATTCCATCTCTGTTTCCATAAGCTTTTCATTGTAACATTATTTTGCCAGTTTATTTTATTCTGTAAATCACATGTCAGTTCACTTTACTTCATGTCTTGCATGAGCTAACTGAATGCATGTTTATTCTTATAAATATTTGCTTATTTCAGCTGTAAAACTGAGCTGCAGCATGGAAACTAGGACAAGAGCTTTAATTTTGTTCCACCATTTTATAACATGTGCTGGTGAAACTAAATATGACACTAACGTAAGAAAATTTTTATTATATAATGCAGATATTTTTTTGTTTTGTTTTTTGTGTGTGTCTGTGTGTGTGTAATCACATAATATTCCCAAATTTTAATTTTAAAATGTGCATTAATACATTAATTCTTGTTTTTTTTATATATATCAGCTGTGTCATGTCAGAATTTTTATTCATTATGACAGCATTAATTTATTTATGATCATGATGAGAAAAATTGAGATTTCTTTGATTTTTATTTTCTTTGTAACTACATTTCAGTAAATGTTGTCATTCCATGAGTTAATGCTGGCAAGCATATCTGCTTAAAGGTGAAAAGAAATAAAATCTAGTCTTGTTGGCTTTCTTAAGTATATATTTTGGAATGATTTGTAAACATTCTTCCTCTGAGTACTCATGCTGAATGCTTGAAAATTTCTTCATCAGATATTCTTTCATACATGATTGTAGATTCTCATCTCCACTCAGAAAATCTTGAAGAGGGCCCGTGGTTTCTTCGATAAAGTTCTTACACCAAGTCTTAGTCTATACTAGGATTGAGATCATTCTTGTTTTTTCTTGCATTGCAGCAATTTTATATTTAATGGACTTTGTGTGTTTCTCAATGGGCTTAGAAGACAGCATTCCATATATCAATGGACAGATATATCATATCGCATATCAGCCTTGTACTATATTTCAAATTCTAGAATAATCCTTTTCAGGAATACCAGCTTTTGTTGTCATTTAAGACTGTCTAATGTCCTGAACCATGGGCTGCTAAACTGAAATAACATTCAGTAGAAGAAATTCAACCTTGTTTGCTCTAGAAAGAAAATTTTCAGTACTTATGTGTTAAAACAACCACCTTGGTCAAAGTCACCAAATCTTCAGAATGTGCCAAACTCTGGCAATGATGCGCATAACCATTCTTCCAGCAACCATGCTTGTAACAATCAAGCAATGCCAGCATTTCCATATACATTCTTATCTGTTGTATTCCAAGTTGCAATGGTTTTTTATAAACAAACCATGATATTTTTTGCTTTTAACTTAGTTTTAAAATATGAGTTTGTGGAATTTGTGAGCAATAGAAGAAACTGCAGTAAAATTTCTTCAGGAATACAGTGTTTTGCTGAAAATTTTCTAAAGGGAACAACAAGAAAATACATTTTCTAGATAGCCGAGGTTTGCATGAACCTGAGTGCCCTCAATTCTCTGATGTTTTTTAAAGCAAAAATAGATCATTATGTATGTATGAAAAAAAAAAAAATACAGAAAGATTTCAGTAAAAATATAAGTGTTTATTTTTTTAAAGTATTATGTAATCTTTATTTAAAATTTAAATTTGTAATTTAAATTGCTAAAGTATGACTGACTGACTTCTTATAAATATCAATAGTTTGGGACTCTTTCTTAAAAAGAAAAAGAAAAGCCGTGGAAACCATCAACTGTACCCGATAAGTAACTTCATCTGTAAAAAGTCACTAAATTGCCCCAAGATGGTTGTGTTAATATGTGAATACCAAATTTTTTCATGTATCTAAAAGTGGTCTATCTGATTATCACTGAAGGTTTTCAACCTCCATACTTTTAACTGTATTTTTTTTTTCTTTCCTATCAGTAAAAGCTTAAGCTTGTTATTGCCAGACAAAACCATCAACCATCATCTTTTTTTTTTAACTTCATTTGTAGCCATGAGCTGATTGTTTTGTTTTAATGCTAAAGTTTTCCTTAGTAAAATCTTTTAATTCAGACCCATTTTATTGCAGCTATAAATTTGCTGTGGGCCCAGTTTGTTCTGAATTTTTTTAATAAAGTAAGTCACTGCATCTTAAAATGTTCCCTCAATTATCGCATACCATAATATTCTTTCCAATGATCAAACCAACCTATGCTGGCGGTGAATTCCCTTCACTATCTTGCAATGCTGGTAAAAGTCTAAACTTGAAATATCCGACCAATCAGTGTATTGCTTTCTATAATATCCGCTGAAACCATAAAAACAGCGCTTCTGATGTCTGTTCATAATTGCTATCTTTTATTGTTTTTCTGGTCTTTGTGGTGTTATCACCAGTCGCATATGCACGAGAGGCAGCCGTTTTTCAATTTCCTCCTTTTTCCTTCTCCAGTAGGCAAATGTCATTTCACCAATACCTAAACACTAGCCAACTTTTTAATCATTTCACTATGATCTAGCCTGTTAGTAGGAGCAACCTATTAACATATAGAAGAAAACATGTCACAAAAACACATTTTTTTTCCTATTATGTGCTAGAGCACCCACAAACAAAGAGGGGGCCAAATTTCTGCACAACTAATTATATACTCTGGTTTCCATGCAAAAACTAGAAAACAATCGATTTTTCACTCAAAGCACACAAGAATCAATGCTTCCGAGCTCAAACATGGTAACAATGGAGTTCTTACCATTACGGTTTGAATTGTTTCTGAATCCACATCTACAAATTGCTTACCTTTCGAGTGAGGCTATTTTAATTAATTTTAATTGCATTGAGTTCAGATAACATGAACCTTAAAATTAGAAGCATGAAATTCTTCCTTTCACCTGAGACAATTTTGCAATTATTAGTAATTCAAGTTACTAAAATAATATTTCAAGAATTAATGAAAATTATAAATTCTGTGATATTTTTGTGTGTTGAGGGGAGAACGTTATGAGAGGAATACTTCTAAATGGCACGCAAATTTAAATACCTAATAATATACATAGTATAAAATATGAATAATTACAAGCTGGGATAATAATGGTGAAATATTTCAAAAATATGTTGCATAGTTTGAACTACTGTGGGAATTATCAGAATGTGAGACAAATATAAAGCAAGCAAATGTGAGTGTCAAAAAAGCATTGATCAGCTAGTTTGATTCAGTTTTGGTACAAACCTTTGATTATGGAAAAAAGAAATTTTGTCACTTGTTATTGAATTGTCTGAGTTTGGACCAGATATTTCCAACCTTTTTCTTGGCATCAACCCCTTTTAAAAGAATCGTTTTCTTCAACTTTATTGAACTTTTTTTATAATATACAATGTACAAAATAATCATGATATAAATAACTTAAAGGTAACAATTAGAGAAATTCTGAAGCCCGGTATAAAATTAAAAAAATTAATAAGAAATATCTGAAAGCTTTCAGATTTTATATTATACCCAAATGGGCATTTTTTCATTTACAGGAAGATACACATTTCGAGGGCATTTGGCATACCTGTAAATATGTGTTAAAAATATTGTGTTAATTTGTGTGTTAAAATATTTGAAAACAGCATATTTTTAGAATTTCCAATATATAGTCTCATGCGCTGGAGATAAAAATGTTTTATTCCCTACAGTGTTGCCACTGCTTGCATTGAAATTGTTGAGTTTTTAATCAAAAATTCATTAAAGTTTTACAAAATATGAAATAGGCAATAAAACAAGTTCCAAATTCAGGCTTCTGGGTGCCCATTTGGGTGGAAGACTATGTTATTCAAAATTTGATGACTCTACATAAAGTAGTTTTCTCACATTGAGAGAAATTTATATACATACATGTAGATTCTTCATTATATAATTTCGTCAAATATAATACAGGGTGGTAATTAGGAGCAACAATTTGAAAAGTGCGATTCAGACAGTTAAAGTGCTTCTAAATGTTTTTTCGAGACTAATATCCCTTCTGTGCTAATGCCAATTTGAGCTAATTAGAAGAAAAGTTTTGAAAAAGGATGGTTTATTAGATGCAGTTTTTTTTATTATTTTTGTATTATTATTTTTAATTTTGCAAATATAAACAAATTTCTAGAAACAAAATCACAGATTATAATTGCACGGAAGTTTGATTTTAATTAACGTGATGGCAGCACTTGATGAATTGATGCAAATGTTTAATTGTTGGCTTCGCAGAATATTGCTTAACATTCTTGAACCACCCCACTAAAAAATTCTTAACTTGTTCCTTGTTTTCTGTCATAAGTTTTTGACTTGACTAAAGCCTGCTTCTACAAGGTAAGAAGACAGAAAAGTCAATAATGTTGTACATCTTTTATTTTGGAAAAATATTTGTCTTGGACAGCTTAACTTCCAAAATATAGTGTACACATGTAGTTTGAATAAGATTTATGCTTGAACATCTTTCAAACCAATCATCTTTCCTTGCATCAAAATATCAATTCAAATATATCACAGCTCAATGGTTCTTTGTGCCATGCTAGCACCTTCTAATTTTCAATGTCTTGAAAGCGAACATCAAAATCATCTTTTTAAATTTTAAAAGCAGCTTGTATATATAACAGTATATCTCCTGAGGAAGTTTTGTATGCTTGGTATTTTTCTGGGGGTTGTATTTTTTTGTGTTCCTGCTTTTTATTTTTTTAATGTTTCATCTTCTTGCATTAAGAAATGTATATATTTCAGTAAAGTAGTATTGATTTTTAAAATATATTAAACAATATTTTTGCATTTTTCCTTTATATTTATTTTATAAAATTTCTTCTTTAGTACATGATGTAGCTTTATAACAAGAAACAAAAAATTATCAATTTTACAATCTTAATTTTTTGTAATCATTAAGACCTTCATTATACTGCTTGTGTATATTCGGCTATCAACTGCTTGATTATCATTGACTTTGATATCATCTTTAAAATTTCAATGACTCAATGGGATCAACACCAACCTCCTTGGAAACCCCAACTGAAGATATATAAATGTGAATTTTGCTTGAATGATCTTAAAACTGAGTAGTAATAACAACCTGTTAACTGTTTACTTTTTGAATTTTTGTAGCTTATTGCTGCCACAGCACTTAGTTTAAGCAGTAGGATTAATGAACAGCTCATTGATATGACTGATCTTATTAATGTATTTTACAGGTAATTTCCCCCTTCTTTTATATTCAATAACTCTGAGAAATAAGCTTTCTTTTAGTAGAAGTATTTTTTAATGTGATTTGAACTGCGTTTTGACCTTACTTCACTTTTATTTAACAAGATTTTATTATTGATGTATTTTTCTGTCTCTTCATGTAATGTAGATGAATATAATAATTAGACAATAAGCTCACCTTTGCTTTTGCATAGACAAAACATTCATTTTTGTGATGTTTGTATGCATTGATTATTTCCTTTTATTTATTGTTATTTTTAATTTAAAATACGAACCCCCTCTTAAGGATGACTACCCTTAATTCCAGAGACTTCAGTATTCTGTGGAGATTGTGTCATAAAAAAACTGATTGTCAGTGTTGTTGATTATCTGATTTATATAATGGATTTATCCTATTCAAAGTTCTTTGTTAAATAAATTACTGTAGTAGAAATGGGTTATATCAGTTTGATTAATAATTTATATTACAAAAATTATAAATTACCGTATTTGCGGGCGTATGAGACGCACTTTTTTTCTTTGAAAATAGGTCTGAAAAACAGGGTGCGTCTTATACGTCGATACTCAGTTTTTGATTATATTTGTTTCTGGAAGTTTTCTCTATTCGGAGCTATGTTTTTTTTTTTTTTTTTTTTTTTTTTTTTTTTCTTGTTTCCTTGCAGAGTGAGGGAATATTACAGTTACGTAGAGTTCAGTGACTGCATATGCGCTGTCATCGATGATCACAGCTGAGTTCAATTAAACTTTTCAATTTTTGTGAACGATTTTTAAGTATGTGAAATTTTAAGTGACTTTTCATTTAGCTCTGGAGATGAGTGCCTGGATTTTGACGAAGAAGATTAAAAGGTATTCTTTCCTAGACAGCTTGGGTATTTTCCAAAAGTATTACTTTGTATTAGTTTATATTTAAAATACATATTCATTATAATGATCAGTAATAAAGTTTTATCCTTCAAAATTGCGTATAAAAAAGGGGGGATGCCTTACAGGCTGGTGCATCTTGTACGTCAGCAAATACGGTAATCACTAAGGATTAAGCAAAATAAAGAATTGTGATATATGATTTATTTTATACTTGTTACAGACTTTTATTATGCTGATAAGCTAGCAAGATCAAATGTTGTATACATTTTATTTGGGAATGACAATACAATGTGGCAAAGAGAATTGTTGGAAGTAAAAGACTGATTATTTAGTAGAGGAAAATTTATCTTTAAAAAAGATAATTTGATTGATAAAGTACCACTGAGCCTGAAAAAAAAGGAAATGAAAATTGTAAGAAAAGATTTCACAAATGATTTTTTATTTAAAGCATATAAAATAGCTAATGGACTAAAAAAAAAAAAAGGCTAATTTATATAGCTTAATAAGAAAAAGAAATTAATTTTTTTTAACAAAATTTATCTAACATTTAATATCATGAGTGATGAGTGCCTAGGTAAAATGTAATAATGTGTTGTCAAAAGTAAAAGACATTTTCTTTATAAATGATGGGAAAAAGCAAATTATTTAATCTCTTGTTCCCATTAAACTATGTAATAAATTTTTTTTGTTTAGTTCATTAAATATTTTATTAGTTTTAAATAAAATCTTACTTTGCAAAACTTTATTATTATTATTATATGTTGGAACCTTGTTGACTGTGTGTTAGCAGACAATAAGAAAAAAATGTATTTATGTAAATAGTACTGATACTCAAAATTGTAAGCTTTCATTCCTTATTTCTCTGTTTAGGATTCTATCAACATAATTAAATTCTTTTATTTTGTAGTGCAAGTGTAGTATTAAGAATTGCACACGTTACAATTTCACAGACCTCTATTATTAAAATCTCTTGTACAAAATTATTTTAGAATGTACTATTAGAACGATAGAATTCTACTAGTTGAAGAGATATTATAAATGTAGCTAAAATCACTAGCTTGGATGCAATACTTGTTTATAAGAACTTTATTTTGAAGAATCACAGAGTCCCCTTTTTGAAATTAATATCCTGTTTCTGTGATAAATATTTATCATTCTCATGCAGTCAAAAGTGACCAATCTGTTCTAAACTACAATTTTATTTCCTTTGTACTCACTGTTTATGGAGAACATTTAAAAACTGTGAATTTTTAAAAACTAAAATTCAAACATTTTAGTACTATTTATAAAACATTAAATATATACTCTGTTGCAAAAACATATATGACCATGAAAAACTGAGCCACAACTATGAAAAGTGGCAATGCAAATGCAGTTTGGCAAGTTGTGTAAATGATTACGCTTGCAGCACCAATCATCATTGTGGAGTGATACAGAGTGTGGGTGAAGTATGCAGCTGGTAGAATGTAAGAGAGCAGGTACTGCAAGTTATGAGCATTTATAACTGTGCTGATGGCTTGGATGCACGGCATTGTAACAAAAGAGGCCTTTGTGATAAGGTCACATAAAAGAAGAAGAGACTGAAGATTAATATGGACAAGGATGTCTCGTGAGAATAAGCTGAAAATTATTATTTTTTAACTTATAAACACGTTTTCAATAGTTGTTAAAATAGTATTTATTAAAATAATTAAATCATTGGCAATGTTAAAAACGCAAGCTCGAGAGCCACGAATTGCTCTCACACGTAAAATGGATAGAATTTGATTTTTGAAATAGATAGGTTTTTCTCTGCAGAATTGTATATAGCCATTTTTTTAGCATTTAATAAATTTTTTTATGCTGTGTTTTGTTTTCAACCTGATGTCACAACCCAGGGTTTGCATAGCGGTTTCAGCCACTACACCACAGCAGTAAAAATTAAAAGTTGGTGGCAGCTTTTAGGGATTGTTCCTGAGAGTAAATTTAGGAACGGACTTTTTCGACTGTGAACAGTCAAGACTTTCTTCTCTTCAAGAACGATCTAATTTTGCGTGCAAGGACAGTTCGCATGGTGAAGCTTCTTCAGTGACAAGTGACAGTGTGTCAGAAGGAAAACGGAGGAAGCGAAGCTGATCTAGTGGCAAAATAGTGAAATTTCCCGGAAGAAGAATATCCAAGTAGTGCCAGGAGAGTCAATCGAAGGCGTCTTCAAAATTGGTGAGTACCATTTTTTGTGATTTTGGAGAGGTTATGCCAGTTATTCGAGACTAGGCTTATTTTGGATATAGAGCAGGAAAAAGTTGCCTCGTAATTAGCATTTTTTTATATATGCTTTGTTTGCAGGCATAGGTATTATCATTAAGTGCTGTAAGGCAATTTGTCTTCAGAATTGTTAGGGAATTATTCAGTTTTGGAGAGATAGACCTGTTGTTGTTTTTGTGTTATTGTTTTTTGGGGTAAGTTATTTTTCTTTAATTTTCCATAATGGGTGAGTTTATGAGTTTATTTACTAAAGCTCTGCTATTGGAGTTAGCGGAGGAGTTTGAAACAAATGTGTCTTAGGCAAATAGAGTAAGAGAAATTAGAAATTAGGCAGGCTATTCTAAATGCCGAGGACTATGAAGAAGAAGCTGCGAAAGAATACGCGGCAAGAATTTGGGCTGCGGCTGAGCAGAGAAAAGCAAAAGAAATAGCCGAGCAAGAGAGAGCAGAGAGGGAACGTGAACAAGAGAGAGCAGAACGGGAACGTGAACAAGAAAGAGCGGAACGGGAAAGGGAGCGAGTTTTTGAATTGGAAAGGTTAAAACTGATGAATGTGGTTCAGACTAATAGCCTAGCTTCCACGGTTTCGAAAGTTGAACAATCTAGCGAAAAAAAGGTTAATTTGAAAGATCTAGTACCGCGTTTTGAACCGAGTAATATAGATATTTCATTATTCTTTATGCTATTTGAGAAACAAGCTCAAAAAGAGAACGTTAATGAGATTGATTGGGTCTCGCAATTAATTCCTTTATTACCTTACGATGTAGCCCAGTTAATAGTGAAAGAACCAGCGGATAAAGGGGATGATTATCAGCATGTTAAGAAATTACTCATGCAGAGATTCAAGCTTAGTTCTTGGGCACTAAAAACAAAATTTGAAGAACATTCTAGAAAAAACGGAATGTTATGGGTGGATTTAGTGTATGAATTGAGAGTGTATTTAGAGAATTGGTTGGATTCAGTAGAAGTTCAAGATTTTGAAAGTCTTAAGGAACTTATGCTCACTGAGCAAATTAAGCGCGAGCGAGTCCCTCTAGAAATAAGAGAGCACTACTTAGACAATTGGGAAGAATTTAAAACAGCTTCCATTTTAGCAGAGAAATGCGACAAGTATGAGGCTTTGCGAAGAGATACGAGGAAGTTAGAACAGAGAGCGGGGTTAAAGAAACCATTTGAGAAAGATAGAGAGCGGTATGTAAATTCTAACTGTAGTTATAATCAGAAAAGTAGTGGTCATCAAAGAATTAAATCAGAGGAGCATAGAAAAGTGGAGGCTTCTAAAAAAAGGCAAGTTTTCAATGAAGCAGGTTTCAAAAAACAGCGGAAAATAAGGTGTTACCAATGTGGAAAGGACGGACTTATCCGACCTAACTGTCCATCGCTGGAAAAGAATAAGTCTAATCTGGTGAATAATCTAGGAACGGAGAGTTTAGGAAAAGGTTTTGAGCCATATTTCAAGAAAGCAGTAATTAATGGGATAGAGAGAGAATATCTGAGAGATACTGGAGCTGGTATAGATCTGTGTAATAGTACTTGGATTAATACTAGTGACTTATTAGGGGAAACTGTGTTTCACCCATACAGTTTTGGACACAGAGTGTAAATGTTTACCTTTTGTTTGTAAATGTGTTTCACCCATACAGTGCCTTTGGACACAGTGTAAATGTTTACCTTTGGCGAAAGTCACTATTGAAGGTGATTTTGGTGTGGTCACCACAAAGGCAGCGGTTACTCCGGTAGAGTTAGATAAAGAGTACTGTTTGTTAGGGAATAAAACTGCACAGTTGATTGAGGAAATTAGGGAACGACCGGTTCTCTTAAATGCTGTGGAGACTCGTAGTCAGGCGCATGCGCGCAGGAGTTTAGAGAGAGCAAGTGC